TCTCTCTCTCTCTCTCTCTCTCTCTCTCTCTCTCTCTCTCTCTCTCTCTCTCTCTCAACAAACAGCCATCGTGAATCTGTGCGCCTCCCAGCCTCCTGGGGGTTGTGGTCTGGGTGAACAGTAGGCCCACCCTCTGCCTCCATGGAAGACGCACACAAAGCTGGGTGCATGTGGTGCACGTGACAGATGTGAGCCCGGAAGGAGAAATTTAGCGGGGAAGGGGAGGTGAGAAGACCAGAGGGCGATGCTATGATTACGTGGCATGAGGCCACGTCTGGAGCAGGAGGTGGGAACCTGCCGCGTGTGTTCACAGCTTCCAGGAGACAGTTTGGCCTCGCTTGAGAGGAGGGGGGGCCGGAGGGGCAGTTTCCCTGGGAACTCATGGGCCATCCGTGGCTTTTGGGTTTTTTTCTAAGCGAGAAGGAAGCCCACCCCGGGCTTTGGTGGAGCAAGGCGGCCAGTCCTGAAAGCTCTGCCTTTGAAACGCAGCCGCGTGGTCGCAGCCTCTCCCGCAGCCCCTAGGCCTAGCCCCCGCCATTTCCCCCAGACCATGGACATGGCTTCTGGACCCTAGCCCTGTCTGACCCATTCGCCCAGAGCCAGTCGCAGATCCCTACACAGCATCCATGAATCCTCTCCCTCACCTTAAGGCTTCTAAGGGGCTCCTTGGCATCTGTCTTACAGGAACCAGGTCCTGCATGACCCCAGGCTCCACCTCACTGTCTAGATCTCACATCACTCTCCCCTTCGGTCCACTCCATCCGGGCCCCTACTTGCCCCTCCCCCTCCCCCACTTCCTGGCTGGTCCTTGGCCAAGTGGAGCCTTCTCTAGCTCTTCTTCCTCTTCTCCGGATGCTCCTTACCCAGACTCAAGTCTTACGCTCACGCCATTCCAATCTCTGCCCAGCCCCCTCCCCTGAGAAGCCTTCCCTAACTTCCCTGCACAGCAGCAGCCTCTCAAATCACCCCACAGCACCTTTCTTTAGAGCGCTTGTCACCTCGAGGTCGCTTTGCATATGTATTTGTTTGCTGTTTGTCACCCCTGTAGACTAATGCCGCTACTTAGTCAGGGCTCATTCATGTGTTGAATGAATGAATGAATGAGCAGCAGGGAGAGAGCTGATGCAAATATTCACACAAGTAAACACACAGCTGCGAAGTAATCCACCCGCAGCTGGCGCTGGGGCGGCTGGGAGAGGGAGGCCCAGTGAGCCCGGGCAACAGGGTGGCCTTCCCTGTGAAACGAGTGCTCGACCTGAGAGGCCGAGAAGGAGTTGACCAAACCTAGAAGGGAGAAGGCAGCCTGGCTGTGCAAGAGACCTGTGGTGGCAAGGACCTGGCAAATGTGACTGACAGGAAAGGAGGAAGCAGCGCATTTGTCATGGAGACAGTGGGAGGGAGCTGGAGCCGCTGAAAAGCTCAGCGGGGACCAGACTAAGCAGCGGTTTGCAGGCCCGTTGAGGAATTTTGTCTTTATCTTAAGAATAGTAAGAAGTGATTAAGGGTTTTATGGAGATTTGTGTTGAGTGTTGAGAAGAGGTGGGGGAGGGAAGTGACATCATCAGGTGTGTGTTGTGAAAACATCGGAGGCTGCAGTCCAGGGGAGGGGTGGTGGGAGTAGGTGGGAGTGAAGAGACCAACTGGAGGGTTGTCCATGTCCTGGGGAGAGGTGAGGGCACCTGCAACAGGGGTCGGGGGAGGAGGCACAAGTAGATAGAAGTCAGTGAATTCAAGCTGTATTTAGGAAATAGCAGATTCAGTACCGAAGAGATTAAAGGAAGGAGGCGTGCTGAGGAGGGTCCCTGGGTTGAGGGGTTGCATGACTTGAGGAAAGGTGAATGTGCCCTGCCTTTTCTTGAGCTATGGAACCCTGCAAGGGTGTGTTCTTTACAGAGAAAATTAAGATTTCCGTCTGAACCTGTTGATTTGAAGGAGTGTTGGGGTACATCTAGCACATGAGGGCAGCACCAGTAGGGGGCAGTGTGAACTGGCGATGGAAACTAAACCTTGGACTCTGACTGACCCCGGGAGAGCAGCCAGGGACTTGAAGAACTGTGTGCAAGCATTGTGCAAGCACAACCTTCACCAGTGATAAGCCCGCAAGCTTCCTGAGAAGGAATGAGCGGGGCGGGGGGTGCGGGGGGATGAAACTGGGAGGCAGAAAAACAGAACAAAAACAAAGTTTTAAGATTAAAGGACAGAACAGAGATGACCAGAGGGCTGGATGAAATGGAAGACGAGCCAAGGGGCACACTGGGCGGTGGTGGGTGAAAACAGCCTTTTGCTGCAGCTGATGGCGAGGCGCATAAAGATGTTGAACTATCGCACCGCACACCCCAAACTTCACAATGAATGTCACCTCAATAATCTTTTTTTTTTTTAAACTTAGGAGAGCATCCGTACCCTAAAGCCCAAAGAAGAATGTTTCAAGATGGTGGAACTGATCATCTGGGTCAGATGCTGCTGAGAAGTAGGACGATCTGATGCCCCAAAGATTTCTACTGGAGTTGATAGCCTGGAGGTCAAAGCGACCCAGTGAGAGATGGTTGCTGGAGTGCAGCAGCCAGAGGCAGACAGAAATGGAATGGGGGAGGGCCAGTTCTGACCACGAAAGAGTGCTTAGCCGAGTTTGAGTTTGGAGGTCAAAGAGAATGGGAAGAGAGCAGAATCTGTGTATGGAAGCAGGAGGGTTGAAGGAATTCCACGCTCTTTTTCGTACAGGATAGCTAGCTTTCTATGTGATTCCATGCCAATGAAAAGGATCCGGCTGGAAATGGAATGTATTATGAAAAGATGTTATTGCTAATATAAAATTCTGGAGAAAGAACGGGATAAAAGTCCAAGTGGGGCCCTCCCTGGTGGCACAGCGGGTTAAAGCGCTGCACTAAGAAGCTAAAGTCACTTCCCCATGGGTTCGATTCCCGCCTGCCCCAAGGACATCCACATAGGGGGGCAGACCTCTCCTGGCCCACCCGCTGCTCCCCTCAGCAGTGTACTTCATCTATCTGCCTGTTCTGCTCCCCGCTCTGCTCTGTCTCTGGTGAAGCCTCTCACCCTCCACATCTCTGGCCTGTACCCCAGTTCTATGTGAAAAAACAAAAGTCCAAGTGGAAAGCTTGACTTTGGGAGAAGGGAGTGCTTCCTCATAAGAGGGAGGTGGCACAACGGGACAGGCTGGCACAGAGGTGGGTGCCTGCCTACATGCTGATTTCCTTACTTCTTAGATGGAGCGGAGCGCAAGTGCACAAGGAAACAAGACATCTTGACTCTTGTATAGGATCTGTCACTACATAGATTCTCAATGTGGGGAAGTTATTTCTCATTTCTTCCCCATTTTTGAAACAGTTTTCTGTTAGGTCATCACTTAGGCTCTTAGAGCTATGCTATTCAAGGTCCTGGACTAGGCCAATGTGCTCAATCATCTTCTGTCCACAATTCCATGAAAATGCCAGACGGAGTGTAAAGATAAGAAGGCCGAAAAATTCAGAGCAGTGCTAGGAAGCCAGAAAAAAGCATCCCCCGCAGACCAAAGCAATGTAATGGCTAATAATCATTCAGTGCTTTCAATGGGCCAGCTATTGCATGAAACGATTTACATGTATTCAACCACTTAAATCATTCTACAAGACAGATACTACTATTATCCAATTTTTTTAATGACTAAACAGAGCCACAGAAAGGTCAAGTAGCCTGTCCAAGCCAGGCAGCCTGACTCTAGAGCCTGCATGTTAAGCTACTTCTATATGACCTTGTAGAAACAAATAACAAATTTCTGGAAATTGCAGAGTGGACCACACACTCTGCTAACATAATAATAGCGGTTACATGTTAGAGACACGATTGTGAAGCTTCCAAGTAGAATACCAAAAAAGCTGAGAAAGCTGGGCTAGCAAAGAGTCACAGGGCGGGAAGCAGGGGTTAGTAAAGCTTTGCCTGAGCCACTTCTTGTGTGTAGAGCAGAAGCTCAGCATGGACGTGGTGGTTGGACACCGAAGTGGGGAGTGCTCAGGTAACTTAGGGGCCACAATAAGGATAGGGAGGCAAAAGGTAACTGGACACAGGAGAGAGATCCTCTAACGCACTGTGCACCCAGCGACACAGTCTCCCAACCTCTGAACTAACAGCTGCTCGGGCTGAAGGCTGCTCCCCACACACACTTCACTATGAGGAGTCAGTGCACCCCAGCCACTGGCTCAGG